CGCCGCTGCGTCCAGGCGGCCAGGCCGCCCAGCGCCCAGAGCCGGACCCCCCAGCCCATGGCGGCCCCGCCGGCCCGGCCGCACCGCGGGGAACAGTGGGAAGCGCAGTCCGCGGCTGAGCCCCGCCTGGCAGCGGGCACGGACGAGGACCGGGCGGGGACTGCGGCTCCCGGCGGGCGCCGCGCAGGGGAAGCATGCGGAGCTGGGCGGGACGGGCCGCGCCCCCGCCCCGATGGGGCTCGGCCGTCAGCCGGGGCTGCCGGCGTTCCCCGTCCTCATTTCGTTATCTTCCCTGGGCGACCCGCCGGGAGCCAGCGTGCACAATAACCCCGTCTGGGGCTCGGCTGTCAGCCGAGGCTGCCGGCGTTCCCGTGCCTCCGCTCCCCGTCCTCATTTCGTTATCTTCCCTGGGCGACCCGCCGGGAGCCAGCGTGCACAATAACCCCGTGTAGCCTTCCAGGCTTGGGGAAGAGTGGCTGGAAGGTGGCCCACTGGAAAAGGATGTGGGACACTGGTCACAGGGATTGAACTGAGCCAGGTGTGCCCAGGTGGCCAGGGAGGCCAATGCATGCTGGCCATTGGAGCAGGAATAGCGTGGCCAGCATGCCCCAGGAGGTGTTGGGGTCATAGTCCCCGGAGGTGTTCAGGGAGCAGGGCGAGGGTGAAGGAGAAGGAGCAGGGAGAGGATGGTGACCTGCACAAAGGCCAGAGGAGAAGCCGCTGCAGGTGGTGTGAGGCTGGCACAGACACCAGGACGTGCAGAGAGGGGTTTTGGTCACCTCCTCGTTTTTCTCAAAGACCTGCAGTTCTGAAAGGGTTGCCTCAGTTTTCTCAGCTTAAGAGTACGCGAAACACAGAGGCACAACAAAAGCAGAGATAAAAAAGGGAAAAATATTTCAGAAGTCAAGAAAATAGCAAATAAAGGAATCAAGCCTAAATCTTGTGTTGCAAGAGAGCGAGGGGTCAAGAATGCTGAGAGGAGAGGGAACAGGAAAAAGTAGTTAAGAGGGGGAGGAAGGGAGGGAGGGCGGAAAAGAGATAGAGGTGATGTGATAGAAGTGAGCAGGGAGAGAGGCTCACACTGAATTTATTTGTATTTCCACTCAAATGTTACCCTGGAAGAAAACCCCAGTTCCTGTGAAGCTGTGAAGCCTGGGACTGCAGGGTCCCTCCTGGGTGGCCCTGGCTGCTGCCAGGCAGCATTACTGGTGAGATATATTTTAGAGTACACCCTGCCGCAGCAGGTGCCTGCAATTAGAGGAGAGATCTCCAAAATAGCAGGCGGCTGTCAATTTTTTAGCAAATGGTGTTGCCCTGTTTTTTTTTTCTTTGTCCAACTGTGTAGAAATTTATTCTAAGATGCACCATCTTTACAGTAACATTTTCAAAGGACCTGTTATTTTTACCCTTCTGTTGCTTTTTGTGACCAGACGAGGAGCAGAAGGCTAATCCAATGGCCACCCGGGGTGAATTTTTTTCACTGAAGGAAAGTAATGAGCTTTAATGAACAAGCAAGTTTCAGGAAACTTTCCACTCTGAAAGCAGAGGGCAAATTTCCTCTTGGTTGGAATTTAACCAAAATTGCAATGATTGCTGTCTTTGTGAAATATGATTGCTATCATTTGCCTTTTACAGTGCTGCAAAAATGTATCACACCTCAGAACACTCTGGTTTTATAAGTTTGCATTTACATCTTCCTTTTTTTGAAGAGGAAACTGAGTCATAGTGAGCTTTGTAGTTTGACCAAGTCATGCAGTAATTGTGTGGCTGATAAATTGATAAGGTGTGAGGCCTGAGTTTTGTAGTTTGACCAAGTCATGCAGTCATTGTGTGGCTGATACATCGATAAGGTGTGAGGCCAACTAGCACAATTAGATTTTTTTGTTCCACAATGTGGATAGAAATTAAATAATGCTTTAAAAATACCCACAAAAGAAACAATTTAACCTAATGAGTTGGTGTGCTTTATTGTTTTTCAGACTAAGTGAACACCTTGTCCCTGAACAAAGGTGAAGGATGGCCAGGTTGGATGGGGCTCTGAGCAACCTGGTCTAGTTGGTGTCCCTGCCCATGGGGGGGTTTGGAACTGGATGATCTTCAAGGTCCCCCTTCCAACCATTCCATGAAAGATCTTTATCTCCTTATGGTGTAAATCAGAGATTTACCATAAAATGTTTGTATGGTAGCGGCACAAATAGCAACTGGATGGCCCTTAGGAAGGTGAGTTTATTTCCCCCCAATTGGTAGGGATCAGAAAATAGACATATTGCCTTGACTTCTTTGGTTCCTTTCCCAAGTGCATTTTGCTCAGCGAGGAGAGTGAACAGGGAATGTTCTCCCACAGCTCTTCCCAACACAAGCTGCAGCTGGGCTGGGAGCCTGTCTGCTGGAGAAGGGTGGCTTAACCAGCCTGGTGTGACTGCCCAAAGTGGGCCACAAGCAGCTCCTGCCAAGCACGATATCTCTGTGTGCCAGCCTTGTTTTGGGGCAGCTCCACCTCTGGGTGGAGTATGGGCTGCTCTGCTGTAGCACAAAGTGTTTTCCTGCCCTTCCAAAAACTTCTTCCACTCCGAAATGTTCCCATGGCTGGCTTTCTGAGTGCAGTGAAGGTGATTTCACTCTGAGCCTTTGAAGTGATCACAGGTCCTGAAATCTCAAATGCAACGTGGGCAGGAGTTTGTGCAGGATTCACGTTTGGGATCACAGGCTGCACCCTGCAGCCAAAAGAGCTTTCTCCATTCCCATCTCTGGAGCTAATGGTGCTGTCTCTGTGTCCTGCAAGGACTGCTGACCACAGTGGCTATTATAAACCAGTCAGTCTGGGCATGGAAGCTGTATTGCCTTCACAAAGGGCTGAGCTTTATAAAGAAATTGAGTGTCCTGTGGAGCCGTATCACTCTTGTCTCCTCCAGTCTGTCTGTTGTGGTGAACCTTGTAGCCAGCTGCTTTGTGAGCAAGGCGCCTGGGGAAATGGAAGGAATGTTTCCACTCCTAAAGTCTGTGATCCTTTGGGGTGGATTTGGCAAAAATAAACCCCTAAATGCCACTGCAGACCGAGCCCTCCCTGCACGACACCATTCATGGTACACTGTACAGATCTGACGCATCTTGTCTCATTTTCTGCATGCTTTCACATCAGTGCTTTACCTTCCAGCAGTGAAACGATGTGTGTCGATACACAGAGGTCATAATTTAATTTCTGAATTCCTGCAGGTTATGTGGGAGAGTCCTGGAAGTCAGACTTGGCATATTTAGGGCTGGCATTGTGAGGGGATTTTTGGAGATTTTGTTTTATGTAGTTTAGAAACAGATCATCAGACTGTTGGTAGTTTCCTGCCTCTTTTACCTGGGAAGATGTGGCTTTCCCTCACTTTTCTTTGTCATTTCCAGGCTTGGGCATTTGGTCATTGTCCATGTGGCAGTGGGAGAGCTGGAAGCTGGCTGTGTGCTGGCGACAGACCAACTGCACCAAAGTTCAGCCCCTGCCCAGTAACCCAGAGCAGAAGATGCATTCCCTGCCTTCTGTTTTTCTTTTGTTCCAACTTTGTCATCCTAAACTGGATGGTGCCTGCAGCCATCTGCTGCATTTGGTAGTCTGCGGCATCATGCCGACTCAATTATGCGCCACTCTGGGAGAACAGCAGGCTGGTTTTCTCTTCAGCTTTGAAGGAGTGTTCTTCCCTTGCACAGGAAGGCTGAGGGAAGTAGGAGCCTCCAGAAGCAAGCTGGATAAGCTGTTCCCAGCCACGTCAGGGGGACTCTCCGTGCCTGTGCAGTCCAGGTGTGGTGGGAGAGCTGCCAGTCTGTCACCGTGCCCGAGATGCTGCACCCTGGGACTCGCTGCTCTGATGCCATGGCAGATGTACTCCCCTGTAGCAGCATTTAACCATTTGGCACTTGTAAGCTTTATCACCTCATTTACTTTTCGTGGATATATATTAAACCAAGGGTATTTCTATTAGACCAAATGTTTTGGGATGAGGTGAAATTAAAAAAGAGATGTTGCAAGTGTAAATTACGTTTTCTTTTTTCAAAACAGTCAGGAGAGAAGGGCTGCAAAGAGATGATATTGAGCCTTACAGGCTTCTAGCAAAGTTGTTTTGTCATGCTTTCATACTCAGAGAGAAGTGACCAGGCAGGAGGATTTATGTGTGTGATTCAGCCTGTGACATCAGTCTTCTTCCTGTGGTGGGCAGAGGAGACATAACTGAAATCTGGGTTTAAATTTTTTTTTTAAATTTTTTTTTCCCCTATTTTTTTTCTGCAGGTTTACGATAAATTTTGAGACTCCAGGACTTTGTCATGTTTTCTTCTTTTCTTTCCCTGCAGGTAGTGGACTTCACGCGTTTCAACATGCAGCCACTCACGTTTGCTGTTTGAATCCTTCTGGGCTGTCCATAGTGCCCTGATCCTTTTTCCTTTTCAGTAAATTCTCCTCTTCATTACATGAGGGTGGGGGTCAGATCAAGTGGTGGGGAGCTAGAAAACAGGGACTTGTGCTATTTACATTTAAGACATTTCTGGCCCCACCAGCTGTTCCATGTGTGTTATTTTCAGAAGGGCAATAATCCACAGGAGGTCAAGAGGGTGGAATTGTGTGAATATACTGGGTGGAGGAAATCAAGATGCTTGGGAGTACCCAGGCCTTGTCATGACCAAGAGTCTGGATCCCAGATGATTCTGGCTGGGAGAACTCAAGGAGATTTCTGAAAGTGCTGCACAGCTGGGTGTTTGTTAGCTGTTTTCAAGATGTCATCTGTGTTTACACTGCTGGCAGGACCACCTGTTCTTTTTTTGAACAATAATATGTGTGTGTGTGTATATATATTACTGCATTTCTGCATTTATTTTTAGCCCTTTCTAAAAGCCCCCGACAGGTTTGAAAGATGCTGTGGATTGTGAATGGTGCCTGGCGGCATTGCTCACATTGATGGTTGTCAGAATTTCCATGCCAATCTCTGCTTTGAAAGGTTTATAACTTGTTCCTTCTATTCTTGGTCCTGCAGCTCTCATACCCTGGAAAAAGTAAAATAAAACAAAATAACAAAAAAATTTTGAAAAATGACAGGTTTGTGGAAATCAGACTCACAGCTCTCATGCCCTGGAAAAAGTAAAATAAAATAAAATAACAAAAAACAAGGAACTTTTGAAAAATGACAGGTTTGTGGAAATCAGACTTGTTGGTCTAAACAAGAGCTTTTCCAAAGCAGACATTGAAGTCTTGCAACTTTATTTTTCAGCACCTAATTGCAAATATGAGGCAGGTCTCTTTGATGTGTTTCATGTGGTCAAATGAAGAAGCTGTTTTGCATATCAGGCTGATATAGGCACTGGATAGTGTAAAATGTCAGGGAGCCAACAGCAGTTAGCTCTCCACCACCAGCTCTGAGGAAGCATAAAACCAACTGAGTTATGGCAGAGGTTGGGCAGTCTCCACATCTGGGGTGACACCAGTTGCAGGGTGAATGCTCCTCATATCAGGAACTAGCAGAGACATGAGACATACCATGGTTTTTTACATTCATAAATAAAGGACATGCATTTTGTTGTTTCATGCAATCAGCAAGAGAAAACCAGTACAAAGCAGCAGTTGGTAATTTTAAGAAATACATAGTTATCCCTTATTAATTTTATGTCCACATTTTGGAAGTGTCTCCCATCCATGCAGTGCAAAGCAGGTTGCAGTTGTTAATCTGCACCATTCCCTGGTGAAGTCCTACACACATCCTGACGATTCCTGGTGCCCACCCAGAAGAGATGGTGTTGGGAGGGGATTTCACAGAGCACCCTGGTGCTGCTGAGAATCCATGGCAGAACAGGCAACAGCACACAGGAACCTGACTCATGCAACAGTGCTAGAAGGAGTGAACTGCATCTCTTCTGAGGGTTTTCCCAGGTTTGGAAAGCTGTTGGAATGCTGGCTGCAAACAGTACATTTGTATGCAGGCAGTAGGCACTAACTCAAAACACGAAGGTAATGAACTTGAAACTGGGTCCTGGCGCACAGCGAGGAGCGTGGAGGGAGCACTGGGAACTTGAGCTAAATCAAAGGCAGGGTAATTTCTCATGCAGCATTCAGCAGGCCGTTCAAACTCAGATTATCTTCTGGCAGGTGGGAATAATGCTTTTTCCCTGTCTCTGCAGGAAGGCTGTGAGGTAGCAAAAGTACATGCAGAAAGCTTTGTCTATGCAAGAGCTCAGCTGTTTTTTCACACTCTATTAGTACCTGTTTGAGTGACAGATACAACCTTTCCTTCAGGTCTTTTCTGACAGCTCTGGACCCTTGTGGTTATGAGAACACTGCTATTACAAAATGGAAATAGTTGGGTTGCTTTTGTGCATGTTGCATGGGTACACACACAGTGTTGCTGAAGACACAGAGTTTAAACTCTTGTAATCCTGATTTGTCCTCCCCAGCAACTGATTTTTCTGAAGACACAAAGGTTTTTGATTCTGGTTCCCTGTACATTTATTGTCTATCTCAGGTCATGGCATTCCTGTAGGCTCTCAGCACCTCCTTAGTGGGAGGCAGAGTCCACTAATTTTTTCAGATGGGAATTTCAGGCAGGCAAAGCCAAAGATGACTGGCCTGTTGTCAGACATAAAAACTTCTCAGAGTAAGAACCTGAGGGCACTCTCCAAATTTCCAGGCTGGTGCCTGAGCTGCTTGTCCAAGCTCAGTGTTATCTTTTGCTGCTGTTCTGATCCCATCTGGCTGTCAGCTGTACCAGCCAGTGCTCCGTGGGTATTTATGCTGCTGCCAGTTCTCATGTCTCAATTGGGAGTCATTCAATGCGGGTGACTGAGATTCCTGGAGAGGAAGAATTTGAAGTATCCCAGACAATGGTATAGCTGACATAGTTTTTGTCGTAAGACTATGTTTTAGTATTAATTTTAAGGATTGTTGACACACATGAGTTTTTCTTGGGCTTCAGGGTCTGTGGTTTCAGCCATAAAATAGGGTCAGAGGCACAACAGTCTTGGTATCAGAGTTTAATATCCTTCTCTTGTAAAAAAATAGAATAAATGGGAGGAGAAGCATATGTTTTAAAATTTCCAGTGATGGTGAGATTCTAAGAAAGAGGCAGCACAATATTTTTCATTATGCATTTGGCATTTTTGAAGAAAGATTCCTGGTAAAGCCTGACTGCAAGTCAAGAGAGTCAACACCTGAGCCAGAGAAGGAAAAGGGGCACGTCTCCCGTAGTAAAAAACTTAATTGCATGTTCTCTTACTCTCAATTACCCTAATTTGAAGTGGGGAGCTAATGAATATTGCTAAATGGTTTGAAACAAACAGCAGCACTGTGGACAAAAAATAGTCATTATGAGCTGCAGTGTATCAACCACAGTGAATTTTTCACAGATTTGTAGGTTTTAATGCTGGGGTGGCTGGTCTGGCTGTTTGCTCAGTGTAGGGGAGAGGACCTTACCCAGTAATTTCCAACGGGGTCAGTAACTTCTATTGGTACCACTGCACACCTTTTAAAATCCCATCACAATAATTAGAAATTACCTCATCCCTAGACTGTGCTTTCCAATTGTCAATTAAAATATTACTTCTCATTGTAAGAGTGCTTCTGTTAAAAGAGCAGTCAGCTGTCAGAAATGTTGTTCCTTTTTGCAAGATATCAGGATTGAAATCCTTCTCACCTTTGTGTTGGGAAGTGAAGCAGGGCAAGCTGCAGACTCCCACATGGGAGGTGACCCTGCATGGAAGTACAGAGCAGCCAGGCCTGTCTGTGTCTGTGTTTGTGTGTCTGAGATGCTGTGGATGTGAGATGCTGTGAGGTGGATGTGCTCTGCAGCCTCATTGCTTGCTTAGAAATGCACCTGGTGTGATGGCAGCCCTGATTTGGGGTGTGGGAGGGGTGCTTTAGAGTGTGCCAGGTGTGCACTAGGGCAGGAAAAGGAATAAAGTATCTCCTGTTTTCTCATGGTTTTTCCATTGATGATCTGGAGCTCTCAGGTACCTCACTGTGATGTGCTTGAGTGGTGCTTGAGTGGTCAGAGATATCCATCAGGAATCAGTGGAGGATTATTCCGAGCTGTCTTTCATTTAATGAATGCCTTTGTTGTTGATTTAGGACTAGTACTTTAATGAACTTTTCAGAAAGTCCTCAAATTTGGCATTTCTCTGGAAATGTCAGAGATGAATCTCGTGAAGCTAGAAATAGGGAGAGCAAAGTGTAATTATATCCTAGGAAAATACAAGGCCACAGAGGGAAAAAATAATCCAAAACTTCATTTCAGAGGAAAAAAAAACAGGTGAGAAAAGAGTTCTCATGATCTACAAGGATTGAAAAAAATGAATTGAACTGAATGTGAAAAACTAATATGAATTGGAAGAATATTCATTTTTCTGTGAATATGCAGCAAAGATGGTGGTAATTTCTGCCATGTATGTGTACCTAAGTGCTTTCTTGAGTCTGGGCTGAAGTGGAAGAAAAGCAAGGTGGGAAAGGAACATGGTTTCACTGGACCGCATGATTTTGCAATGTCTAATTTTGGACACTTGTTTCTGAAAAGTCTTGCCTGTAGCCTGGCACACATCAAACTGGTTCTGTCAGAAGCACTTTTCAGCCTCAAAGTTTGTTCCCAGGCCGAAGAGCTGGCACGGCATTTACTGCAAAACCCAAACAAATAGCAGCAAGTTTCTGACCTCAGGCTTGCCTCTTGCTGCTAATCTGATTCCTTTTAAGGGTAGGAGCTGGTGGTTAACATGATTTCTAGTGAAACCCTGCTTGCAGCCGAATATGAGAGTGTTGGTTTTGCTGGCGCTGTTGATAAAAATGTCATGGCCACACACCCATATCCAGTTTCTAGGAAAATCTTCCAATGTGTCTTTTGCATTCTTTATATTGTCATATGGCTGACCATCACTGGCATGCCTTCCTAAGATTATGTTCATGTCCAATAAGAGCATGAAATTTAACTCTCTCATGGGTCCATACCAGTTCATCATGACCCCTAGCTTGGCTCCATCTGCTTTACCCCTTCCTGTCTAAAACACCTTTATCATAAAGAGGAGCTCTTGCCTATGAATAGTGAGTCACAAACCCCGATTCCGAGGAATCCCTGAGCAGCTCCCCGCTGTGATCCAGCCCCAAGAAGTGGAGATGTCCTCTCAAAAAATAGCAGGAGTCTGCAGCAGACTTGGTCTTGCTCCTGCAAACGCTGCAGTGGGGTTGTTTTTCTTTGCCTGTCATGTGGCAGCCAAACAGAGTTTGTAATACAGAAATGAAAAGAGAAAAAACTGCCTAATCTTCTAATAAAATGTAGCCACCTCGAGGGAGGAGAGCGGCTTAATGTAGCAGTCCTACAGGCCTCAGTCAGGGAATAATTTTAAAGGAATATGTAAATATTGCAGCTTTTCTGCATTTTGCTCTCTGACTTGCTCTGAGGGAATACTTTCTGCCAATGTATGTGGAATGATTGCTTTTATTCCCCCAGAGACCAGTGGGTTTGTGTTAATGGGCTGGCTATGAAGCCTGGCATGTTAGAGGACAGGGGAGGAGGTTTTATGCTGGTGCTGCAGTGTGTTCATAGAATCATAGAACCACAGGATCATAGGATATGTTGGGTTGGAAGGGACCCATCAGGCTCATCAAATCCAACTCTTGGCCCTGCACGGGACACCCCAAGAATCACATCATTGTCCAAACAATTCTTTAACTCTTGGCTTGGTGTTGTAACCACCATTTCCACCAGGCAGTACGTCATGGTTCTCTTAGGTGTTTGCTATTACTAATCTAAATGCATTTAACTGTCCTTAAAATGTCTTTTGGTAAGTATTTGTTCCATAAAGTCTCCAGTGGAGGTATGTTGTTTGGTTTGTGATTGGCTACACAGCACTGGATTGGTTACACAATATTTTTGTGCTTCCTGAGGGCTGGAGGAACACAGAGCTGCCTCTGGGGTGGATATTGGCCCATATGAATGTAAAATTTGGTTTCCTTGACTGACATTTACTTTCTGAGAACTCTGTTGCCCGT